CATTTCTCTCTTTGGTGAGCACACATGCCTTATGGTGAAAACCTTAAAAAATAAAACTAAACAAAAACACCTTGGCATCTGAAGGAACTCCTGAGATTGTGTTAACAGAATTCAGAAGCATTCTCATGACCACATGCAGCAAGTTGCAAAACAACGTGTAGGCATGGGTACACATTTGGAAACTGAGAAGCCCAAACCAATCCTGTATGTCATTTGAGAACATACATAGATGAGTTCAGGAGATTGCTCTTGAAGACCTAGAAAAGAAACAACAAAGATCTCACAGTAATCATGGGATGCCAATTTTCCATCATTCCTATTACCCATGAATCTACTGGTTCCCAGCTTCCCTGAGCTGAGCAGTCCAGAAACCTGGAGAGTGGCCCCTGTTTTGGTTTCTGAATGGCTTCAGTGTTTAAATTTTCCTTGCTTGCCACCCAACCCCTCCTCCAGCAGCTCTCCATTCATTTCTCACTCTTCCTCTTCTCTGTCACATTCATGCTCACTTTTCTTTCGTTGCCTCTTTCTTATATGTTCTACTCTGGCTGACCTCCAGTAGAGGCCTGGAGTGTCTGAATTCCTCCTGCCCACAGGAACTGCAATACCTGATTTCTCTGGATCTGCACTTGAGAGGCCTACCCTGTTGGAAAACAATACAGAGCAGGGTAGATGGGGTCCTCTAGAGGGCTGCGATGATCCACATGGAGCAGGGCCTTTAGCGTGCATGCCTGTGTCTGGAAAACCCTCTCTCCAACTCTGTGTAGGAACTTTTAAAGACACAATATACTATTTCAGACAGACCAAAACAGTGATAGGTCCTGTGATAGGTAGGTGGGCCCCACATGGCTGACCAAGGTTTAAATCTTGTCTGTAGCAGCTTGAAAAACATGCTGGTGACGTCTGTGTGTGTGTGTCTGTGTGTGTGTGTGTGTGTGCTGAAAATTCTGCTGAGATGGAGAAATGGAGGAAAAAAAAGACTTCTGTGCGGCTATGGCTCATTTGGGAGTCATTCTCCCTCTCTCTTGGGAATGCACTGGCTTTCTGACAATATAACATCAATGCATACATAAATAAGAATGCCTGGGGGCCAGCAGTTAGCATAATGGCTATGTCACTGGACTCCCATTTAGTCGACCACGGTTCAAGTCCTGGACCTGGCAACTTAAACTCATGCCAGGCGCATGTGCATGCGTGCCCAAGATCCTGAAAGGAAAATGGAGGAGAAGGGATTGCAGCGTGGCCATCCCCCCTGGGGGGGTGATTTCTCGCTTTCTATCTCTCTGTCTCTCTCTGTCTTTCTGGCGAGCACATGCGCCCTATAGTGAAAACCTCTCCAAAAAATAAAAAAGAATGTCTGAAAAAGGTAAATATTATTTGTTAAAACTTATTGTAAGAGGGGATACGTGCTTGCCAGAGAGAGAGAGTGAGCGAGCACGCATGCCATCATTGGGATGTAGGTCCTACTGCAATCCTTTGTCCTCCATTTCTCTCTTGTCTGGATTTGGGGCATATGTGCACTCACATGTGCCCAGCATGTTTTTCTTTTTTTTATTCTCATTATTTTTAATTAATTTTTCTTTTTTTAACATTAATACGTTATACATTATTACAGTATACAAAATGAATTTTCCATCCAAAATACACTGTCTGTTGGCTCAATCAAGCACATCAACATACATGTTATCAACAAACAATTTTCTATTTCTTATGTTTTGTACATTTTTCTCTTTTTTTCTTTTTTTTTTTGCCATCCTTGATTCCCTATCCCTAACCTCCCCCTACCCCTCTGCCCTGCCCAGCCCTCCTCCCATTGTCTCTGTTATCCATGATTGCTTTCTATGCCTCCCTCCCCCCATTTAATTGATTTGCTAATGAACTTAATTTGTCTAAATATTTGCAATAGCAAGCACAGCTGATATATACATACACAAGAACCCATGTCTGACTTTAGGCATAAACCTCAGTGAGTAGAATGAACATACTATAAAAT